GTCAAGTGAGGTCAAATTTTGAAGTTGGTTGTTAAGGCCTAAAAAGGTGTCTATCTGATGCAGCTTTTCACGGCGAATCGAATGGTGCTATTTTTGTTTCCGTACGAGGTCTAGAACTTCCAAAAAATTCATTTTTCAATTTTTTGTGTGTCGTGACGTCATAAAATTTTGAATAACTCCCACATTTTTGAACCAATTCTTCTAAAAATTGGTATGTAGGTGCACATGGACCACTTCTCTGACATTTATTCCGGTTTTTTGATACACTCAAAATTTTGGATTTAAAAACTATTTTCCCAAAAAAGTCAGTTTTTTGAAAAAATTTGGGCCAAAATCCAAAATTTTCAAAAAACCGAGATAGCCATTTGATAGACAAAGTAGAAAGGCGTATAACCTTTTTTTGTTACGTCTTGATTCCTTTAAAAATGAAGATGTTAGCGGCGTTTGAAATTTTGCCGTTTTTTAGGCGAAAATGGCGAACATGACGTCACTAAAACGTCAATTTCTCCAAAATTTTCCGACGGATTTCGCTCAAATGTTCAGGGAACGTGTCAAATTGATGTAAGAAAAGGTACTGAAAGTTTGACGGCGCTGCGCGCCGCCGTTTTTGAGATATTGCCAAAATTCGCGAGGGGGGGGGTAAAATTTACCCCCCCAGCCCCGCGCGGGTTAAGTGACCTGACTTGAAAACGTGGTTGATGTCAAATGATCCGGCTTGAATCAAATGTGAGGCATATGAAATGTCAGCCTTCTATCATCAGTGTGCTTTGAGCTACCGCAAAAAAAATACATGGCGGCGGCATCCACCCCTTCTTCTCGGCCGGCGAGGGTTAAACCTCGTTTCGAATTATTGCAGATAACGATGCGACCGAAATCAAAACATTTATCTGTGTCTAGAAGGGCCGCTGACTTGTTGGACAAGACCCCCAATCTTATTTCGCTAGATGGGAATAAAATACACGGTATGTGATACATCCCCTCGATTTGCCCCCGCGCTAAGTCTATTCTAATCATCACTAACGCTCTTTTATCCGAGATGATGTCGCCACTAAACCGGTTGTTTTGTTTGCTTGCTTGCGTTGAATGGTCTGTGGTCATTACGGATTTTTGAAGGATTATGATAAAATAGGAATGGGGCAAGGGAGGATATGCACTGAAGGGGTTTAATTCAGATCACAAAGGCATCATTTCCCGCATCGTGCAGAGTCACTATCTTCACCTCCTCTGCACTGCGGCATCTCTGCGCCCCACACGCGGCGTCCTCACTCCACGGCCGGCCGCCGCCAACTGACCCACTCGCCGGGCGCCGCGACCTGACCCGTGTCACTGCCGCGGCCTGCGCAATAGAGTCGGGGCTGGAATCCGGGGGTTCGGCCGGGCGGCCGCCTCTGGAGCGGGGGACTTTTTTAGTAGACCTACTGTACGCTCAATGGACGGTTGTAGCTCCAACCCAGTGACTATTTTCCTGAACTTTCACATGCATAAAACCAGTGCTTCCCACCCAGTGTTGTCCGTGACCCAGTAACTATACTTCCTGTGACGGTACAAAAGCATACCTACATCCAGTGCTCTCCACCCAGTGTTGTCCGTGACCCAGTAACTAATTTCCTGTAACGGTGCTGCCACATACAGCCAGTACTCTCCACCCAGTGTTGTCCGTGACCCAGTATACCGATGCGGTAATGCTGAAGCCAATGGTAGACGCCCGCTGCGGGGCTTCTGAGCCAATCCTGCCTGTCTGTGGGACAGTCACCCGGCAGTCTGACCGTCACTGGGACTGGATGGAAGACTGTTACCCACACCACCGAAACTGCTTCTGGCTAGGATACTGTCAACATCCGGAGCTGCCACACTGGACGAGACGATTGAAGCTGGGAAACTGTCACCCACACCCAAAACCGGCTGGAATACTGGCAAGGGGCACCGGCTGGGAAACTGTCAGCCTGTTTTACCGTGCCTGGAAAACTATAAAGTTGTGTCACCCTGACTCGAGCTATCAGCCACGATTGCCCTGTCACCCTGCCTGAAACACTTTGGGGAGCTGCCATCGCAACCTCAAACTCAGCGCTGAAACAATTGGTCCGACTGCTGCTATCAGGGACTATTACCGTCATCTGTACGACTGGGATTGTCCCCTGCGGTGTCATTCTATTGACTGGTGCTGCTATTTTGACTGTTTACTGTCACTTCGAGATGGCACAGTTTGTCATAGAAACGATGACCGGCCGACTGGCAGGTCAACGGTGGCGTCGGTTGTTCGGAATGAACTTTGAATATCATATATCTTATAGCTCCCAAAAAATGATATACGAATACCAAAATGATATCGAAGCTTTCATACACGAAGGGATCAATATCATTGATCACTGATCAGGCTTCTGCTAAGCGACTGAATAGCGTTCTCATTACGTTCATCACACCTATGAATGCACGAGCCGATTGTTCACATCCTTTCCATTATAGCATTTCTTGAGTATTCCCCGCGTGATACTAGCAGACGCTAATCGATAGACGACCAACTAGCCCATTGCCGTAATTTTTTCTCCGCTCTACTCTGATGGGATCCACGTCGTCCTTTAGTGGATCGTATATGCCATGTAGGTGCCCTCCGCGCTCTGGCCGAAGGACGCGCAAATGGGGCAGGAATTTCAATGGCGCCCAGGTTTGTTGTGCCTCTCCGTGTTCAGTGTCGTTACCGCACTCCGTATATTGTTCACCTGTCAAATAATGTAAATGGCGTGTCTGACCGGTGGCCAACAGCATTAGACACCTGACAGACCCGACATTTCCGTGTCTTTCTCCAGTGTTTTCGTGTTCGACGGCACTGCCTTATCCGACAGTCCCACAGTATTGTTTTGTGTTGGACAGTATACCGATAGCGTTATCGACGCTTCTATCGGTGCCGCATCACTGGGATGTCAGCACGAGGTGTCTCACGGTAAATAGGTCATGTCGGACGAGACTGAGCGACACAGGTAGGGTGACTGAGGTCCGTTGTAACTAATCGGTATTCGAATAAAGTTTTAGTTTCGGATTTCGAGAGAAAAGTTTCATTGATTCGTAATGCCTGTGAAATGTTCGTTTTCAACTGAGTCCACATATTGCACAAGGACGACAGTTATTCCGACACCGAAACTAACAACTGTCAGATACGAGGGGGTATCGAAAAGTTCTGATCATCACATAGAAGATATAGACCGATTTTGATGATTTTTGGTAGGCATTATATTTGGTTCTCAAGAACAATGTTCCCGCAAAGAAAATCCTGAGAAGTGGTTTTATCTTATGTAGGAGAGACTTAGAAGTAAAAAAGATGAGCATTGGGCCCACTGAGGACCGAACCGTCATTCAACTAATGCATTTGAAACGGTATCACACTGATAAAATACATCAAGAACGTGAACTTAGTTTATGGCGAAGAAAGCCCATCTCATGCACTTACCGAAAATGAAGAAATAATTTTCAACTTGGTTGCATGGCCTTTGCAAGGGAGTCAAGAAGTGAGTGACTACCAGTGATTGACAAGGTGGTGACTGTGAAGGAAGTGGAGGACCTCATCCTTACAGATCGTCGTGTGGCCTTTCAGATGATTGTGCAACAGAAAGGTCTCAATGCTGGCAGTGTCTGAAAATATTATCAGCGAAGAACTACAGACGATAAAGGAGTCAGCCCGCTTAGAAGTTCGTGTGTCTACTTTGTTCCAGAGAAAAATTCGTCTTGGCCTTTCGAAACGAAAACTAGGCCTTTTTTAGGAAATTGAAGACATCTTTGATCATTTGATGACTTGTGACGAATGCTGGGTCTATGTGTATGATTCAGAGACAAAAAGATGATCTAGAAGTTTAAGCACGGCACATCTGCCCTTCTTAAAAGGCGAAGATGCAGAAGCCGATATGGAAAGTCAATGGCTCTCAGTGTTCTGGATCTGGCGTAGGATAGTCATTACCGACTGTCTTGATAATGGTCGGATAATGATAAGCATGCGCTACTGCACACTTTTGAAGAAATTGCGAGATGGCCTCAAGCAGAATCGCCGCAAAAAAAGCCCAAGAAATATGTTTTATCCTCACGGACAGTGCCCCCACCCATTCGTCCTGAGCTGCGATTGAAGAAACAACATGATGTGGACATTAAATCCTACCGTATCTAACAAATTCACCTGACCGGGTATTAACTGACTCTTGATTGTTACGGGAGATGAAAAATCCACAGTATGGCCGGTGATTGAAGGACAGAAATGACGTCATTGATGAGGTGAAGCACTGATTTACGGGACAGTGCGAAGGTTCTACAATGACCGCCTGAGGCAGTTCAAGAAACGATGCAATAAGTTTGCGGTCGTGTGTGGTGACTTGTGAAGAAGTAATGAACATCATGTAAAAAAAAAAAATCAAATTTCTATCACATCTAATTCATGGTGATGATCAGAACTTTTCGATACCCCCTCGTATATCCGGGATAGGTTGGTATGTCACAGATGATAAGAGCATTGCATTGGAAAGTATGATGTGCGAAAGCTCATTGGGTGCCGTGCTGCGCAAGTTGACTCAGTCGGGAATACTCACCGTTAAAATGAAATGGAATTATATCTTTGTTCCTGACATTGACACAATAGCGACATATGGTCTGCCTAGTTGGGCTATTTTGAGCGTTAATAAATAAACATTTCCACTTCATAAGCCGAGGTTCTGTGGAAACCTGTAATAATTAACGTTGATATAACTCGTATATAATCGGTATGACTGCCTCTCTGAGTGTCCTGGAAGTAATTTATAACAAAGTTGCTGGGTAGTGGGTCAGACATTCAACAAGGCGAAATCACTACCTCCAGCTTTCTTGACAAAGAGGGCCGTGAAATTCGTCAGTTTAGGATTAGCATTTTAAACACCCGCTGACATATGTGCCTCTGTCTTTCGTGAGGTCCGGGGGACCCATTATCACTCGCTTGTGAAACGAGCTTCATGCATATTGCATGACCTCGCCTTGTTTATCTTTTGCAGACGGCCACGATGAGGGAGCTCTAACCAGCAGGCAGCTCAACGCTCGGCTTTCGGTGACCTTGACGCCCGTGACCTGGAATCAGCTGACGCGTCCGGACGTGACGTCACGTGTCACGTGACTTGAAGGACTGCCCCGTGAGACTGCCAGGGATGTCGCAAAATGGCGTGGCCCGCAGTGCGCCGTATCCCGACTTTCCAGTAGACTATCAGAAACTGATTAAACTGTTCGAGTGTCCGTTGTGTCACGAGTATATGCGGCCGCCGATTCCGCAGTGCAAGAAAGGTCACGTACTCTGTGAAAAGTGTCGACCCAAAGTAAAGGGCGTCTGTCCACTCTGCAAGCAGCTGGTGGGAAACCAGACGAACCTGATGATGGAGAAGATATGCCTGCTCGTCAAATTCCCTTGCGGATACGCGGAAAAGGTAAGGCTGCACTAAACAACGGAATATTGGAGAAAATGCCGATAGCAAGTGTCTCGGTGACTTTCGGGGATGATGGCATGGGTTGCCACGGGGATAGCCCATCGGCTCTGCAAAGGTCAAAGTAATAACGTCTTTGAAAGGTCATGCAGTAATTTCGTCGCCTTAAGAGTCAATTTGATGTGCGAGACGTGTGATCATCAATAGATAACTGTCTCACAACATGCCCTGCAGGACACAGACTTATTGGACGAGGGGATATATTAGGGCGTTACGTAAGATGAAATGCTCTATAGCGCATGGACCATAAATGTTGTTTAATAGTGATTGGGTAGAGGCGTGAGCTCCCAAGGTCGGGTTGGCTGACTTATGATACGTGCCAATAGATGCCAAAAGCCACAGTGTAGACATAAGTTCAATGAACATGATGTGCTAAACGCTTTGTCGTTACACCGAAGGTTATCTGAAGAGCACAGCATTTTCATTTGCTTATTGAGCGCCCTTAGAATCACCACCCTGGTAAATTTGAGTACCTACTGCCATAACTTGGACAGGTCCTCCGGGTTTGGCTCGGCCCTAATACGGTAACCGGTGACATCTTGTCAATTTTCTTGTCTTGTTGTGTGTTGTTAGGTCGAGTCGTCAGGCGACGCTTCTTGATGACGGGGCTATGAGAGGTGATGCTTGCTTACGTTGCTGCCTGTAAATATTAAAACTGAACGTTAGCAAATATACCTACACTTTGACAAACGGGTACACTTGTTAGACACGTGTAAATTAATAATCGAACACGTGGATGAGCTAACTGAGATATTTCCATCCATGTCATGAGTCTGAACACGACGCTTTGGCACAACCTTGAACGAGCTAAGCTCCGTCATGCATCTTGTAACTCTACAGGCCTTACACCTGCCAACTATCTGGCCAGCCTCGCTGGCTCTCCTGCTAGTCTGCAAAATGACAACATCTGACCCAAATTTACATTCTTGACGAGCGCCAGCCAGTTACCCGGTGACCCCCTGGACCATGATGACCTCTCGTTCCGTGGTGAACCGACCCCCTGCGTCTGAAGCCTCCCCGCAGCTCATGTTACCTACTGTCATTACTCCTCCCCCTCCTCGGCACGTCCGACCCAGCGCTCGTCTGTGTTCTCTGTAGCACCGGCGACTTTTCCCGGCAGTATGGGCGACTGTTTTCTGCAGGTCGGGGCGACTGTTTCCTGCAGGTCGACAGTGCTCTGGGCGCTGTCGGCGGCCGCTCTGTTCGCTGCGAACGGCCACTTTTGCGCTCGAGTGCCGTTCACGGGAGGGGGAAGTTTATTTTGAAAGCGACTATCACCGGTGAAACGACTCGTCTTTGGCAGACATGGCCAACAACAACGGTGGCAGAGCCGGCGGGACAGAGAGGCAGGCAGTCCGTCGGTGGAGATAGGTGGTCGGTGCCTGTCACTGATGATAGGGGACTGGGGACTGACAACTGGGGAGTGGGGACAAAGGACTGGGGTGGGAGCTTGGGAGTGGAGAATAGGGACTGGGCGCAGGAGAAAACGGACATGGAGATGGCCGGGCTGAGGGGCTTGGGACTGCAAAGTTATGACAGGGAATTGGGCATTGAGTGATGGGAATTGGGGATACCGGAGCATCGGGATCGGGGCTGGGAGCGGATGCGAGGTGTGGACGGTAACTGGATATAGAAGAGCGTGGAACGTGCGTTATTTTTCATCACTTTCCTCCAAAGTCCAACAGGCTATTTGCGTCCATTCACAGGTGTGCTCCTGCTCCTCCGTCACCCCTTCATAATGGATGTTGACACTGATGGATGGTCGCGTGTCAACATTCTCCTTCGTGCATATGCATACAACATATCACGCTATGCATATCGCGGTGCAGATATCTAGATGGCGTGCCCAGCAACAGTACATTGTGCATTTGGTAAACCTCGTCAAAGCAGTGTCAAAGGCAGGGCTCGTGTAGACAATGAACTATTAGGAGACTGGCAGGGCTTTCCATACGTGTAAAATGGTGTTGAGTTCGTGACATATTCTGGCGCCGATGGGCACCAAATCACACAAGTTACAGAACTTCCATGATGAGTATTGACTGTCAGCCATTTTCCATGCCTCAAACTCATTTTATACAAATGAAGAAAGCCATTTTATCCAGGACGTATTCCTAAATCAGACGAGCCACGGTACTGCATTCACTGTTCACTGTTCAGGCGGAAGGCACATCATATCGAACTGCCTGTAGGGTAGACTGCACCGCATGACACATGTGTGTTGCGGCACAGTATCCTACAGCGCGAGACTACTCGATATCGAAGCCTTCAGGGGCAGCCGTGCTTTGTGCAATGCGTGTTGTCGGAGCTGATCATCACAAAAGCTCGCTCTGCAATATGTTATTTCAACTAAGAGCACTATACTCTGACACAATGAAAAACAATACTTTATGGATCATATGGATTGTTACATACTAACTACTGCATTCGTGAATCTTTGTGTGTTTGATGAATTTCGTTTGCCTTGAATATTTTCAATTCTTAGCTCAGCGCTCTTGCTCGGGCTATCGGAACAAATTATGCCAGTCCATTACAGCTGGTCATAAACATGTTGCTGCAAATTGGCCGAGCTTCGGATTCCTAAATGTTCCTGACGCACAAAAAGATGGTCGTTGGAAGGGTGATATATGCATACCTTTCTGGAAAGTCTTGATGATAAAACAATCATGAAAGTCACGTTGTTTAGGTAATAGAATAGCCTAAACGTTCCAGAATGCCATCAATTATAATGAAAGGTCAGCGTCTCTATTCAAGCTTTCCCATGCTAAAATGGCGCAATGCATCGTTTAAATGGCCAATGATATGCCGGCTAAATGGTGCTTATTTGTCCGTACAAATAATAAGCAACGGTCACCCAGTGAAAGGCAAGTGATGAGAGCTAATGGTATCTCTATCTTATTTCAGAATTGTCATAAATGCGCGAGTATGCTAAGAATGGCTATTAATTAGTAACGCTGTGCCCAGGATGGGTGCATCATTTGTATTCTGAGTTGACAACCATGGAAACTAATTCATGTGTTACCCGTGTATCAGGATATTAATGGGGATAGTGACACCCCAGTTATCAAAATTAATTATATTATCCATGCATGGAAACCTCCCGAGGAGAATCAGGGAGCTACAAAGAAGGAAGACAATGATGCCTTTTGAATGCGATTTACTAAACGTGACTTTGCTGTTGTAAGGAGAGGGTACCTAGGGGCTAGGAAGACCAAATTCGGTCAATGTCTTAGCATTCGTTGGCAAGCAAAGCTATTGATGATTCCTGACCACGATAATGTTCGTGTGCAGGTGGTTTTTATCAGGTGATATTTCAAATGAACAAAATAACTTTACAACTGTTTCAATGAGGGAAGCGATTGGCGCTGGATGTTCGTTGACTGGCAGTTCTGTGGTGGCTTCTGTCTCAGCGGTGATTCTCGAGCAGTCTCCAAAAATGTCGCCTCGCTCTCAGTCCTTTGACCTTCGCTGGCTCACTGCCAGCTGGCAACAGAAATATTGCCCGGGGAAGCTCTGCGGAAATTGCACAAGACAATCAACGCCACTGAGCTACCTGGCTAACTGCCTTGTATGCTAAATCATCTCTGCTATAATTTTTAAGTAAACTTATAAAGTAATTTTATATGTGCAAATGTCCGCTTTTCTCTGCAGCCTCAGGCGTGTTTGTATTGCACTCCGCTGCCTTCACTGTGCCAACAGTAGATCTCGGGTCGATTCACGCGTCCAATACAGGCCGCACGCAGGCGACTGGCGCGATCGTGAAGTGCCCTCGCTGCTCAAGTGGAAATGGGAAGGCAGTGAACGTATTCACTGGCTGCATCCGAGCAAACAACGGTATTGAGCTGCCGTCCCCGGCTCGTCTGGCTTTTGTATCGACTATCGAGTGGTGCCGCGCAGTGTGATGCTGCGCCGCACCACACGGGTGTCGTGCGGTGCAGTCTACCCTACAGGCAGTTCGATATGATGCGCCTTCCACCCGAGCACACGATGCTGCTGTTTGCTACACCTATAAGATTAATTAGCCTTTTCGAGCCGTGTCTCCGCTGTGAGTTAGGGGTGACATCTTCGCTAATAACTCCTCGCGTTCTGTCTGTCTTCAGGGCTGCTCCGAGCTGGTGCCCCTCCGAGAGAAGACACACCACGAGAGCATGTGCGACTTCCACCCGGTTCACTGCGAGTACACGCGGAACGGGTGTGACGTCATCCTCTGCCTTCGAGACATGACCAAACACGTGCGGCAGTGCCGCTTCCGACCTGCCTGAGCGGCCGGCTCGCGTGCTCATGTCAGAGGTCACAGTGAGGTCACAGACCGCCTGATCGTCCCCTCAAGGTCAGAGGTCAGGGTCAGAGCCGTCAGTCGCGCACTAAACGCCAGAGGTCGCGCATGGTTCCCGACTGGGCCAGTGCTACTGCCGCGTGACGTTGTCGGTTGTCGAATGGCCCCGTGTTGATCTGTGTTGGGGGCCGATGTTGTTCTTACGGCATGAACGGCGTATCACTGTTGTCGCCTCTGCGTTTTCTCAGTGTAAGTGTTTCATTGTGCATGATGTGTTCCCATGCTGTATATGAACACAGGGCATGGCAGCCTCTGTGAAGCTGCCATGCACCTATACAACGTGTTCTTTCAATGTCACTTTGACTGTATGTCTGTGTAGGGGCTGGCGCATCTATAGGGTTGGGTTCAGTAGTGCGCAAATGAATCAGTACCTGTTATGTGCGATAAGTGTGCGCTGAGAAAGCTATCATACACATAGATTTTCAAACTAAGATGCAATGAAAGAGCAGTTGTTTGATATTGTTGTTAAATAGAGAGCTGATATGGGCAGTGGGCACCCATGGAAAAGGACACCCATGGACGCCATTCTCCGGGTCAAAGTGGAAGCATGCTAGACACCGGACTGTGGTTGGCGCTGGTATAATTGTTCGCCATTCACAACTTCGAAACCTACAATTCGTTATCTCTCCATGCATTCGTCGAATCGACTGCACCTATTTCAGTGTCCATCGGCGTTTGTCTAGCAGTAATTTAAAGCACATCGAAATAAATATTACAGCTCTATTGTTTTGTGTATGTGTGTGTGTGTGTGTTTTTTTTTTTTGCCAACAACAAATTCGATCCCGGATCATTTCATTTGTTTTATAACTCAACCTGATCTGCTCGTTCCACAGCTCGCTACTCACTCTGACTGTTCCCCTACTGTCCTCTAATTTTAAAATATTCCATGTTTTCCCTAGAACGTACCTCTTCTAATTATTGTCTGTTTGCTTTACAGTTGTGTTAGTGTTCTCAGCTACTATGAAAAGCAGCAAATATCATGTGCTAGAAGCCTCGACCACCGAACGTATGCTTCAAATGCAGCAATCCATATTCACGGCTGAGACTCGTGTTTTCTCATTCGTCACGTCAGCTCAACACGCACCTCTTACGCCGAGGCGGAAACGGAACCGGCGGCGGGAACAGCGCTGCTTGGACAAATGATAATATACGCAAGCAGACTGATCGCGAGGTGGTTGATAGGACTCATAGGACACATACAGTAGGCATTATATAAAAGGTAGATAAGTCACATGTGCTCATAAATAAGCACTGCAGTGTGCTGATGCAACTGCATTTTTGCCACCGATGCATGAGATGAGGCGTTCAGATTGACTGACAAGATGCATCATCTCTACAGGGATTTATACTTCACCGAAAGCGAGTGGCAGCTTTTTTCATTTCCCAATCTCCCATAAGGCTGACGTCGTGCTAGCCGTCCATCGAACCAATGGGGCAATCGTCTTTTTGCCGAGCCATGGGAATCGGGACGGCCATTCACGTCAATTAGGTTTTCCTCTCTTCCTCTCTCTTCCTCTCCCTCCCTCTCCTCTCACTCTCGCTCTCTCTTTCTCTCTCTCCTCTCTCCTCCTCTCTCTCTCTCTCTCTCTCCTCTCTCTCTCTCTCTCTCTCTCTCTCTCTTTCTTACTCCCTCTCCCTCTCTCCCTTCTCCTACTTCTCTCTCTCCTCCCTCTCTCTCTCTCACTCTAGTTCACTCTCT